CAGTGAGAGTAAGTGATGGTGATTTTAGGGTGAACTGTCGCTTTAATGAACAGAAGCGAGCAGCACTGCCGTCTGATTGGCTGTTTGAGGACGCTACAGATCCTGACAGAAGACAGACACGCTAATAAAGCAGATGATCAGACGCCGCTCATTACTGTCTGGTTTAATTGAGTTAAAGCAGTCTTACCAGGCCGAGGCTGAAGGTGAAGAGCAGGCGAATGATGGGCTGAGGACAGCGCTCACATTCTGCAAAACAAGAAGACACAAGCAAACGCTGTGAGGAACGAGTGACAGCCGCTGTTAAAACGAGAGAGCGAGAGAGAGCAACAGGTGTGCTGCCCTGTGGTCACATGACCAAACACCTGCGATCGCATGATGCATTCAGAGCTGTGGAGTCACATGTGTTTCTATAGCGCTTTATACAATACAGATTGATTCAAAGCAGGAAAATAACAGAATCAACGATGCATACTTCAGCAAACATGAAGCATCAGATGGTTCCTGCATCCCTGTGTACATTTACGTTCAGACCTAAAACTTCCTTTCCAGTCCATCCAGAACAACATCACAGCCACAAGCTCATTAACATAGATGACACGCCCACACAGTGTGAACTACACCAATCATAACAGAGCTCATTAACATAAAACAGTCAGAGAGAGAAAAGTAAACTAAATTACGGCTAAAATTGTGAACTCTCAATCTAAAAATCTTATAAAAATTGTAATGAACGACATGGTTAAAGTGTGTGATTTACAGTAAAGGTTCTGAAGCAGAAGCCAATCTCCTCTGGATTATCTATCTGTCGAAGATTAAAATAAAGTGTTATAAAACACAAATTATCCGGTTAAATCTCCTGATAAAGCCCTCTGTTCTGTTTGTTCAGTCTGGCAAATCCACGTAATGAGTGTCGTGTATTTTTAGACTTTAAGCGGCGTTATTTCAGGTAACATCAGACGAGGCGACAAATATTCTCTTGATTAAAGCAGCCGATAATCCCACGGCGGCGGCGGGAGAACGTCAATCCGTTCACAGCCACAGCGGAAACACAAACACCTGCGACACCTGCGAGCGACGGCACACTCAGAGAAACACCAGCCAGAGGAACGAGATCCGCCGCCGCGTCTTTCACTCATTCCACATCACTATTGATCAGTGCCTCAATAATCAATGAAAATCTCCTGCAGCTGAGAGCTTCACTGAGCTCCTTCATCATCAGTCACTGCATCAGGATCAGAGTCATCACTGCCGCTCATCTGAACCAATCCAACGGATGGCCGCAGGGCATCATGGGAAACGGCACTCCTGACAGCGTGCCAGATGCAGTCGGTCATCAGCCATTCCAGATAACCAGATAACGCGTATAGTTCTCTGGTTTGGTTATAGTTAACGTGCATAATTAACTGACATACTGATCCGCTTCACTTCCTGTAGCTGTTGAGGTCAAAGGTCGTGCGTTCAATCAATCTCTACAGTATTTCAGCACCAACTCATTTTGTGAAATCTAGTTAAATCAGATGAAACGGCTGAAAAACTTCAACTAAACTACACAAGACAAAAGAAAATCTCACATGAAACACGATTATTGTGTCGAGTTGCCAGCTGATGTGCCTGATTGTTTATATCAGTGCATCGATTGTTTGTATTATCGTCCAGCTCTAATCTGCTGCATGCACCTATGCACCAATATTATAAACATTAAGATCAGGATTTTCAGTAAAGCTGAACTTTATTTGCATCACTGAATTACTACTTTCTTCTCTATAACTGTAGAGCAGCTTTGAAACAATCTGTATTGCATAAAGCGCTGTAGAAATAAAGGCTTGACTCTTCAGATGTGATCACCTGACGCGGTCACATGACCCAGGTGATCACATACTAGTGATATAACAAGGGATCGGCACGCTTCGTCACCGCGTCCTCGGCTAACGCGGGTAATAATAGACGCGAACGCTGCAGCGTTCAGAAGTCACGTTCTGAGTTATAGCACAAAGGTCGACAGTTTAATTGGAAGTGCAAATTGCGTCCGCACGCTGGCTCCCAGCAGTGCCGTGACTGAACGTGTTTCACAGGGGGCTGCAATTAGAAAGAGCAGTAATAGCTGTTCCGCGCTATTTTTAGCCGAAGCTCGTCGTCCAGGAACCCTGATGCTTCAGCTGGCTGTTCTACAGAGACGCTCGCAGGAACACGGCATGATGGGAGATCTCGGGCCGGCGGGGGGGGCGCAATAATCGCTTCAGGACGCACAAATTCACTCTGTCCACTCATTAATAGTGAAAGTGTTGAGCTGTCTCACTGAAACACACTCAACATACAGTCAAAACACAATTCCAATTCACAAGCCCTCAATTCAGCTCAATATCCACTCATCTGGAAATATTTAAGGAAAATGTCAATTTTTCTTAAGGAGATACATCTCAGCTAAAGCGGTATACTATACAGGAAACCCTGTCAGTTCATACATCACTATTAAAGTCTGAAATTAACAAACAACTATTACATTTCACTGCTGTTTGTTTTAATAATCAACACTCAAATAAAATGTACAGACATTCAAATTGCAAATAAGGCAAATAAAGTTATTATATTAACTTTTTAAACATATAATTGTTTCTACTCCAAATTTGTTATTGGTGGCTTTAATAAAAATGTGTTTTTGTGACAGATTTATTGAAACACACATTAAATATTTAAGAACAGATTCAGTAAAATATAATGAATATGTAATATAGTGCAAATATTGATCGAAACGCTCCTCTCTAGAGCTATATTTTTAGCTGACTACTGAGTTTATGGTCACTGAATGTCTTTTCTGAGGTAAATGTTACATGACATTATTGATCTCAAGCTGTTTTACTGACGTCTTTCCGCCGTTGAATCACTGACTGATGGATTACAACATCCATGATTGATTTCAGTGAGTTGTTCTGATTCTTCTGATGCTCATTCAGGTTTATTTGCTGCTGTAACTAGTAGTAAAGAGGAAGAGATGATCAGCGATCTGTCAGCACACATTACAGAGCCACAAAACCAGTGAATTTAGTGATGAAACTGACAGAATTTCAAGGCTGAGACTAACAAAGCACAAAGATTATTGTGCTTATTGGATGACAGATTTTTTTCAATAATGGTGATATGATTTAACACATTTCTGATATTTTGATATACATTATATTTACTCAAACTCTCTTTTATGAGATGAAGGGGAAAAAGGAAAAATAAAAACAGCCAACCATAAAGGCCAAAAAAATCGGCATCATATATCGGCCATCGGCTTCCCTGATTTCTAAATATCGGCATTGGCCAGAGAAAAACCCATATCAATCAACCTCTAATACATTACCAGTGTTTCCAATTCAAAGGCCTTTTCATTGCATCTGATAAAGTAGCGTTTCTGAGCGGAGCTCTGCTTTGTGTACAGCCGTTACCGTGGAAACCGCTGTTTCTGCCGCTCCAAAAGCACCTCCAGCTGGCAGAGAATGAATTTGCATTTTCAATCAGCCCGTCTCCAGCAACATGTTTTGTTGTTGCTCACTCTTTTTTTCTGTTTTCTGCAGCAACTCTGAGCACTTCTCATATTCTTTATCCTGGCTGAAGCACTTTGTTAAAATGTTTCCATTTACACATGGCCACATAAATGTGTCTTCGCAAAATGGAATAAATCCGGTCTTCAATTCCCGCAGTATATGCAAATTTAACGAAGTTCACGTCAACGAAAGCAACAGATACATGCTGCATTTTATTCATCATCAGCTAATTTCTAGTTCAAAGACCGCAACAGGAGAGAGAGCAGCATCAGCACTGAAAGATAAGTTAGTCTCACTACTTTTAATAAATGATTGTGTGTTGAGCGACTTACTTTCAGTTTCATTTGCGTTAGTTTGCGCGTTGGCTTGCTGAAGAGATACTCAGCTACTCATCGTGTTGCATTAGCGCTGTCACATTGGACTATAATGTCATATAGCCTATAACACGCTCTCACACGTTTAGCATTTTAACATTTGGGGAGGAGAAAAGTTTCAACAATCAGATGCATTTACACTTGCGTCCCAAATGCGTCCCAGACCACCTCCTGAAGTGGTTTGAGCGATCGGATTTAAATCTGCCTCGAAAGCGTTTCGGAGGGCATTTACACCTGCTCTTTTCATGATCGGATAGCTATCCAATCAGAGCAAACGCATGAAGTGACCAGGCCCTTAGATAAACTGATGCCATCTGTATCAAACTCCCTGAGCAACGGCACACTGGGTTTAATAACACAGAACGAGCCACTGTGATTGGTTCACAGTAACACAGTGCGCAGTTTAAGGTGGTCAGGATTCAACCATGACTACTGCTAGTCCTCCAAGATAACCATGACCACCTTCAGCTTTGATCTAAACCAGCCTGATCCAGCTAACGAGGAACCATCTGCTGATCGAAGATACTGAAACAACGCGGCCAACTCAGTGAAGCTAATGCGAGTGTGAATCACGCTGAAGCACCGGTTGTGCAGAAAGTGATTTAAGGGGCGAGCAACATCTCAGATCCTGTGAAGACAAGCATCTTAAAACACCGAACGTCGGTCAGTCGACCCAAAGAAAACTGGCAGCCGCCGCATGAAAGCCAACGTGAACAATAACAGCCAGAAGCCTGTGACTCATTGTGTTTGCATCTGCCTAATTAAAAAATAATAGTGCATCTTCCCTACAGCACACAGACGGACGCATGAGCGCAAGAACACAACAACAGAGCACCACACAGGTCTGTTTACATGGAAAAACACTTCGAGCCTGATCCAGAACCGGCTTCAGAGGAATCAGCGATGCAAATATCTGCCATGCAGCTTATTACTTCTGCTATGACCGATAACAGACATGGCGGCCGATATTAGGAACATTTTAGTAAAATTAGACATTTGTCATGGCGGGTAACAGTTTAGTGCTTCTGAAAGCTGCTGCAGACAAAGACAGGACTGAAAGCACAAGAATGAAGTTTCATGTCACAGAACAGTCGAACACAGACTATGAGCAAACCCTGCGCTTCTCAAACATGATAAAGCATAAACCTCCATAAGAAGACATGATGAACAAGTCAACTCGTACACAATCTGTCATTTCAGGAAATGCATCACATTTGAAGAAAGAACTAATAGCGGCTCAATGAACCATTAGTGATTAAAATCACACAATAACAACACAACATGATGCATGAGTTCTCTATAACGGTAGAGCAGCTTTGAAACAATCTGTATTGTATAAAGCGCTGTAGAAATAAAGGCTTGACTCTTCAGATGTGATCACCTGACGCGGTCACGTGACCCAGGTGATCACATACTAGTGATATAACAAGGGATCGGCACGCTTCGTCACCGCGTCCTCGGCTAACACGGGTAATAATAGACGTAATAGAAATCTGTCATTTCAGGAAATGCATCACATTTGAAGAAAGAACTAATAGCGGCTCAATGAAACATTAGTGATTCAAATCACACAATAACAACACAACATGATGCATGAGTTCAGAGCATATCAGCGGACTAAATAAACGTAAAGCTGTTTGAATAAAACACGTACCGAATCAGGTCCGTCTCACAAGAACCTAAACACAGCTGAGACCCCGCAGCGCCTGCTTGACTTCAGACTCAAGATCTACAGATCCACCGCCATCAAGAGCATGCCACAGCATTGAGCTCCTCACCAGAATACTGTTTCTGACTGAATAAACATCCTTCTACCTGCGCGCTCACGTGAACAGGTGTGACGCACGGATCACTCATGACAAAACACATCTGAACCTGACAGCTTTAGCTGATGAAAACACATGCGGCATCAGAATCTGTCCGGATACACGAAGAGAAAAGTCCTTCACAGATATCGAGTGAACGATTGCTCTGTCAGGCTGGATCTTGATTCCAGTGCCAGTAATTCTGCTTTTACTCTTTATTTTGACATTGTTATTAATATTGTATATCAAGGCATTAAATGTCAAACTGTGACTGTAAATCTGAAATAAGGTACACAAGTTATGGTGTAATTACATAAAGAAATTAGTGCTTCTTTTCAGATGCTGCATTTTGAATGTAGGTATATTTTGAAAACAACACTATCTAATGTATCTTTTTTTAAGGACATTTAAGAAGAAAACATGATGGGCCATCTAAACACAACCATCAAACACACACATATGTTGACTAAATATATATAGAGGATCAGACATTAATCAGGGATCACAATGTCCCAGACATTAAATGCGAAAGGGACAAGCATCCCTGATAACAGAAGTTTATTTCTGATAGAGGCACAGTTCATCCTGAATTACACGAACGAGACCTGATAACACACACACACACACACACTCACACACACACACACACACACACACACACACACACACACACACACACACACACAAAGCATTCGCTAACAGACGGAAGCAGCGCTGCGTTACACTGACAGATCAACAAGCAACTTATCTGTGAGCTCATGCAGTCTTACCCTTCACATGCTGGACGATCTCAGAGAAGCAGCAGGGTTAGCAGCTAATGTTAGCCCGAGAGCTAAGGCCAGGTCACTTTGATTCTCCTCACAGATGAACACACACACACACACGCGCGCGCCCTTCCCTACAGCTCAGTGACGCGACGCTACCGTCATCACACACCAGCGCGCGCCCGCGACATTCCCGGGAAAACACCGAATTCCCTGCGCTCGAGAAGAGGAGGATGCTGGATCTTGAGAGAGAGAGAGAGAGAGAGAGAGAGAGAGAGAGAGAGATATAACCCACACATGCTCTTGTTCTGCAGTGAATGCACAGCATGCATACATGCACCGAAAGGCCCTGCACGCATCAGATCTCAGATCCACTCAGAATGCATTATGTAATTGTCAGTATTCGCGGCACAGTTGTGATGATGGTCTGAGGAAAGCATTCGCTAACAGACGGAAGCAGCGCTGCGTTACACTGACAGATCAACAAGCAACTTATCTGTGAGCTCATGCAGTCTTACCCTTCACATGCTGGACGATCTCAGAGAAGCAGCAGGGTTAGCAGCTAATGTTAGCCCGAGAGCTAAGGAGAGAGAGACTCACCCGCGCGCGCGAGGAAACCCTGCAGGAGGAGATGAGGATGATGAAGATCATGAAGAAGAAGCGTCTCACCCTCCTGATTCTTTCCCTCACTCCCTCACTCACTCACTCACTCAAGTCACCTTTATTTATCTAGCGCTTTTGTGTCAAAGCAGCTTTACAGTATTAAATATGAAAATATTGTGTCAGTAATGCAGAAGGACAATAGTAAACACTCAATTTTCAGTTAAAGGCAGTTCATCATTGAATTCAGTGATGTCATCATCCTGATTCTCCTCACAGATGAACACACACACACACACGCGCGCGCCCTTCCCTACAGCTCAGTGACGCGACGCTACCGTCATCACACACCAGCGCGCGCCCGCGACATTCCCGGGAAAACACCGAATTCCCTGCGCTCGAGAAGAGGAGGATGCTGGATCTTCCTCAGCGCCACACACGCAGCCCTGCAGCACCGCTGCACACACACACACACACACACACAGAGAGAGAGAGAGAGAGAGAGAGAGAGAGAGAGAGAGAGAGAGACTCACCCAAACTCAAAGCCCAAATTCTCACACAACAGTCTGTGGAACCACTTAGAACAAATCTTTCCCTGTCAGACAAGTCAAATGCACGTGCTGTGGAAAACAGATCAAGAGAATGAGAGAGAGCGGGACGGAGAATGAGAAAAAAAGAGTGACTGCAGGACACAAGAAAAGGGAGAACTAAGGACAAGGGATGTGAAGAACAAATGCACTGTCAAAACAGCAAAGACAAGGAATAATGGAGAGCAAAAGGGACAGATGGGAAGGAGGCTATATATCTATCTATCTATCTATCTATATGTCTGTCTATCTATCTATCT